AGCGCTATTTATGCAATAGCGAAAATCAGACCTGAAAAAAATCAGGCCTGTACGGGATTCGAACCACTGACCTCTGCGATACTAGTGCAGTGCTCTACCAATTGAGCTAACAAGTCAACTGGGAGCAGGCCGTTAAGTTGTTTTGTAATAAACCTGTGATGATAAATCAGATACAATGAATATATAAAGTTCATATATTTTGAACTGTGGTATTAGATACGTAATATGCACGATCCTCACAGTAGAGAGGGCTATTTATGCAATAGCGAAAATCAGACCTGAAAAAAATCAGGCCTGTACGGGATTCGAACCACTGACCTCTGCGATACTAGTGCAGCGCTCTACCAATTGAGCTAACAAGCCAACTGGGAGCAGGCCATTAAGTTGATTCGTAATAAACCCTTCCGATATCAGGAAGTGTGAGCCAAATGTGTGATTTAAGGGTGATAGTGCAGGCAACAATTAGGTGCAAATGACTCTGAGAGGTTAAAAGGTTAAAAAAACTTTTTCTCGCAGACTATTGCAGACATCATTCGAACATGTTTAGGACCCAAGGCAATGTTGAAGGTAAATCAATTAACATAATTTTTCAGTATTTACTTTTACTAGAGCCTCAGTTATTGCATAGTATAATTTGAGTGTACTTTGCTATATGTGTTATTACAGATACAGCAATATTTAGCTTGCTATATAGCTTATGACACAATTATGTGTTGTTACAGATAGCAATATTTAGCTTGACATTCAATTAACACAGGGCTAAAATTGTTTTTAATAGTATCAATATTAGAATCATCATTATTATCCAACTACACTCTGTAGAATACAAATAACACCATACAGTACAAATATCACGCGTTATTTGTAACTAGCAGCTCAAATATCACGCGTTATTTGTACTCCAGAGAACCAGTTGGACAATTTTTCTCGCATTCAAGTGAAGAATTGGATTGAAGTTACGAAAAAAAAAGTGGCGGACAATTTGAATTGTTTCTGACAGTGAAGAGTCAGAATGGCTGGCAGATATAGATCCAAGTTTATTAGATGAATTGAATGAAGAAAAACAGCTAGAAGAACAGGAAATTTCTTCAGTGACTGAAGAAAATAGGAACAGCAACGTGATTCCAATTCCGTTCCCCTTTGCATACTTATGTCACACACTCCCCATCAATAAATATCCACGAAATTTTCCCGTACTGAAATAACAATTTGGTGTGTTGGATAATAAATAACTCATTACACGTTTTGTTGTGTAGGATTGCTGGGTATTTTTTACTCGTTATTTGTATTTTGACTCACCTTACAGGCTTATCAAAAATTATATGGTACAACTCATCAAAATACGGCACAACTCATAAAAATACTCAGCAATACTAAACAGCAAGACATCTAATAAGATAATATAATATTTAACAATTATTCCACGAGCACGCATTGGATATGACATGATAGATAGCCAACGAGGCGTGTAGCGCCTTGTTGGCTATAATCATCTCATATCCAACAAGCGTGAGTGGAATAATTGTTTTATTAAAAAAAAACGCCCCAAGATATTAGACAAATCTTCTAGACTTCATTTCGTGAGAAGAAACCAGATGTTACGATGTACAGATGTTAGATTATGGTATATTGGCTGATATACCATAATGGCTAAGCCAATAAAAGGTCTTGAATTGCATTATCCAACGATCCAGTTTTTAATAATTATTATTACAACATAGTTACAAAAATTTCAGGATTTCATATTTTACCCTAGCACTTCATGCACTGCATTCAGCCATTAAACCGTTGCTATCAGTCATTTTAAATACTGAGCACTCTTGCACTTGTGACTTTTTTCTTTTCTATTGCAAATTAAACTGACAGTATTGACTTAATTGTAGTGCAGCTCAAAGAATAGGTGACATAGCAGTCTAGAACCATACACTTGTCTGAAGCATATGTTGACAGGCTAGTCTAAAAACCATGCATGTACAGCTGTAGACAAATTGTATCTGCCATTATCATACATTGCCATACTTTTACTTTGTGTGCAGTTGTGTTCTATAACAAAAGAGGTGGTCTGCAAGCATGAAATTCGCAAGACAATTATGAAAATGTCAATAAAATATATGGCATACAAATTGTTGAACAGAAGATCTAGTTTATTTGGAATCTGTCTTTCTTTTCTTTAATGTTCAGAAACAAAATGGCTTGTGAATACTGATCACTTGCCAGGAAAGTACATTTACAGTGTCCATTCCTCATTCACTCTCACTTGCTTGCTTCTCTGCTAATGACAAACTTTGGTAAAATGTTAATCAAGGTGTTGTATTTTGAACCTAGTTTGGTTTGAAAATTCAGCAATTAAAAACAAAACTGTAATGCCATTTGATCTTCGCTTTCTTTCCAAACTGATTCATGAAAACAAATCATCTATAATGAACTATAGAATTATTCAGTCAAAGAGTGTTAACAGCAAACTTTCTGCTTGCTTTCCCACCTTTGCTGCACAAGCTCAAAGAACAAGCATGGTTTTTATAAAGGCTATTGTATTTTCAAAGATTTTTACTTCACAAATGACCATTGGGAATGGTCACTGCTTTTGAACTTTGCATTGATTATTGAAACAGCTTGGAGCAAGCCACACAATTACTGTTACCATTAAATTATTGGTTAAATGTCAATCGGATAATTAATTCTTGAATCATCTTTCTCTTGTGGAACAGGGTACCCATAAATATATGGGATGTGGCAGGTTTTCTGTTTTTCATTTTTTGTTTTTTCTCAAGACTATACCTTCTAGTGTCATTATACAACCTCTAGTTCTTTTCCAAGCTAGAAAAATAAAACTAAACTAGTCGAAAAATTGTAGTTCTCATTTAAAACCCACACCAGCCCCTATTATACCCGTTGATTTCAAATCGTATTATGATCACTATTTCCTTCAAGCTCTGATGCCAGCACCCACTTTCACATTAAAACTACTAGTCTATTTTTATATTCAGCCAGGAAAAGTGTTGTTTTCTATCAAACATCTGCTAGCCACCATTATGACTTTAATTGAAGCATCATGGCAACAACTGAGAAAATTATTTTTGCAGTTCTGTTGAAAACAGCCACCTAATTCAAAATTTCTGTGATGTGCTGATCCATTCTTGGCAAGCAAACTTTGATAAAATTCTGCAGGCAAGCAAACCATGTAAAGTTAATAGGACCACAGTGCTGAACAAACAAACACAGTTACAAGAAACTCGAGATGAATGATGGACATCTGGTGCAGCTTGACCACCAGTTTTTACTACTCAGGCTTCCGAACACCTGAGGTATAAATTCAACTTTGTTTTTTTTTTTTTTTGCGTTCAGTCACAAAACGCAGTTCCACTACAGCGCATGTGTAGAATGAACCCTAGAGCACATGGTAAGCAAGAAAGCAATGGCTGCCTTCGCGGACAATTCCTTGCTTGATGTACCCGAAAGAAATTTGATGGCTGTTATGCCCAATGTATATACAAAGTCACACAGCTTCGCAGTAGAACCGCACTAAAACTTGTGGAGGGATTTGGGAACAGGTCGTTCCGCAAACTTAACAAGAGATCAATTTATGAGCAATCCTTTACGAGTGAACCTTTTATAGAGAAATATCAGGTGAAACCTGCTATATCAAACGAGTTATGTCATATTATGTTTACATGTAAACACAACCGTGTATTTAGACATGATCGAGAACCCAGTAGAATACCAGAAGCTACTCTGAAATGTCTCAGAAGAAAGGGCAGAAAACTGAAAGAATATTTTTATGAGCGTATTCGTCCAAGCATACCGAAGTCCTCTTGGCTACGTCATTATGCGAAGGTTAGAAAAGTTACAAAGAATATTTTGTAAGCTTAATATGAAGAGGGTAAGATTAAATAAAGTTACAAAACATGATAAGAAGTATTTGTTGATTTGTTGAGTGAGGGTAGATCAGAGGATAATGAAATTGAGGTATAGAACAAGGTGGTATTTATCAATGTTTTCTCGTAATAGACCCTTGTGTCTTTATAAGAGTCAGACACACACATCAAACTATTGTAAATTTCAGCTGAGTTGAGATGTTGAGAAAAAATAATTCTGGTCCTACCTCAATGTACATTGACTTGATTTACAATAACAAAGAAGGAATCAGTTCTGCTAATGATCTTGTGCCAATAACGAATATTGGACATCAGTTGTATTCAAGTTTGTCTCAGTTAACCAGACAATCATTTTTAATGCAGATAGAATTACCCACACTTTTAAATGTGTTCGAGACTGACTATGAACTTCTATACAGTGAAAGCTACACTGGTACTATTAATCAAGAAGCTACAATAGAAAGATATCAGTACTGTACCTCCTTAGATAGAGCCTTTCAATCACTTGTATTAAAAAATTTCAACAATTTTGTCTTGACAATAGGATGTACTACAGTTGCTATCTATTGTAAAGGTAATGTGGGCTTGAAAATATTTGATTCTCATGCAAGGGATATTTATGGTAGAAGCCATCCTCAGGGTACATGTGTGCTGCTTGATGTAGCATCACTTAATAGCTTAGTACATTATTTCAGAGTATACATAACAATGATATATTTGAGTTGAAAGGGGTTGAAATTAATAAAGTTCAAAATAGTACCCTTTTTCAGAGTTGTGCCTGTGAAACCAGAAAGTTTAGTGTGAGTTGTGCTGTTGCTGTGTATTCACTCTGCTACCCCGTAATAAAATCATGTAGTTATTGGAATTCAAATCCCTTATCCAATGTTATTCAGTATGGCAAAAGATTATAAGAAAATTCATCTTTAAACTTTTACTGTCGGATGATTTCCCAAAATTGTTGATGTTTGTGGAACTGAAATAAGTTTAGATCCTAAAAGTGATTACAGTGAAGGAATGTTGTCTGATTCAGTTGACAGCAAATCAATTTGTGAAAATCTTGTAAGAAATAATAGTGAATGCACAGGGTTTTTCATGTGGTTTTCAGTTTTTTGTACGACATGTACATGTATTTTCAAACCCACAAAAGGTCAAATACCTCTAAATTATTTAATATACTAAAACTGTAAATAGTGCTGCTTCTCTTGTTGCAGCCATCAGCAATATTCAATATTCAGAGATTTTCCTGTTAAAAAAACAATCTGAGTTATTGAACAGTAATATTGCTTCAATCTACTGGTTTCTGAAAACCAGTAGATTGTTCACCCTTGGGTGAACATTTGGCAACAAACTATGACTCTGTACCTATAATAGATAAAAAAATTCCCTTTTCCTTGCAGTTAAAGGCAAATACATTACCTACTCAGGTTTCGTAAAAGCCTTGAAAGTCCTTGAAGATGCTTGAATTTAAAAATAACAAATTCAATGCCTTGACAGTACTTGAATTTGAGGACTAGGGCTTTATTTTTGCAATGCTTTTTCTTTAGCAATTTTTGAGTTGAAAATTACAGTACTTACATGGAAAAGCTGAGAAATAATATTAAATAATTTTAAAATTGCTCATGCAAACCTTTCCAAAAGTGGTCCTTCAATTTTCTAACACTTGGCTTACAAAGTCATTGAAAAGTCCTTGAATTTCAGCCTTTGGCATCTTTAGGAACCTACTCCTATATGGTAATATTATTTTGATTGTTGTCCAGTACCATAACAACATTCATTACACTCTAGCAGACAAAAAAAAAAACACAAGTAGACTTATTCATGACCAGCAATGATGAAATTGTGTGACAACAGTGACAATGGTATTATGGCAGTCCCCAAAAGATAACTTCAGATGTGCGATATTGAAAGCCTGAGTTCACACAGCTATGTGTCTAGTTGCAAATACAATGCCCATTGAAGTAAAAAAAAAAAAATAGCCATTTTATAATAGCTAGCTCATACATACCTATTAGGCAGGTGCGTCTAACTGCAGACACACATGTACATCTCTTAAGACTAGTCTGGGTCTGGGGTTACTCGGTCTTAACAAGTTTGGCATGTATTTTGGTCCCCTTATCTTTGAGCTGCACTGTATGTTGAAACAATTTGTGAAATCACACATGGTACTAACTAAAAGGAAATCAAAGAAAGGAATGTATGATACAGTAAATGGTTTGAACCCGGGGGTAACATGTGAAGGTGTAGTCTGATCGTCTGGGTGAGTGTAGTCCTGTGTAGTCTGATCGTCCGGATGAGTGTAGTCCTCCTACATCGGTGAGACTGGCAGAAACCTCACAACAAGACTGACTGAACACAGACGGGCGACGAGGAAAGGTGATGTCAGCAATCACATTGCTGAACACCATCGACTTACCAACCACAACATTGACTGGGACTCTGCGCAATGCCTAACCTACAGCACTGACTATTTTCAACGACTGACTCTGGAAAGCTGGTTTACTAACTTAGAACAGACTCCCCTAAACAGATGTCAACAACTACCCGCTCCATACAAACGACTCATTCACGACATAAACATCACAAACGACCGAAAAAGAACGACCTAACTTTACCGACAGATCGAAACAGACCAATCACGACCGACTTACGTCACTTGAGTCTTACAACCAATAACATCACGGCAAAACCAACCAATCATTTCACACGAACTGGAATAAGAACATTCTACTGACAACAATCATTCACTTGACTCTGATGATGACTTCCGCACAGGTTGTCGAAACGTCAGTCACTACCACCGACAACAGTTCTTCTCAGGACTACACTCACCCGGACGATCAGACTACACCTTCGAATGTATGATAGTTAATATGAATTATGATTACATAGCAACTGCAAAATTTGTGGCGTACACTTAAATGTGCTTTAAGTTGTAGTTAAATTTTGGCTATTTAATGGGTACAGTGTATGCATTAACAAAGTAAAGAGTCTGTCTTGAAAATTAGATGTTGATGGATCCCATGGGTGGAATCGTCATGACAAATGATGGAAATGCAATTCTTCGTGAGGTAAGAACCACACTATAGTACTTTATCTGCCCTTTTTTTAATGGTTGGCTTCAATATTTTGGCATGATAATATTTGTAAACATCTTTTTACAAATTATGTATTAATGTTATTTGAGAAGGTGTAGTCTGATCGTCCGGGTGAGTGTAGTCCTGAGAAGGACTGTTGTCGGCGGTAGTGACTGACGTTTCGACAACCTGTGCGGAAGTCATCATCAGAGTCAAGTGAATAATTGTTGTCAAGTGAATGATTGTTGTCATTTACTGCACAATGTTATTTGATTTCCTTCTAGTTCTTTTCCAAACTCAGTTGATGTAGTCCATCCAGTTTATGTGATATACTATAAATGAATTTGAACATTCTTCACACCTAAATAAATAGCCTAAGTGTGGGAAAGGTTATAACATGAAAAAGGAATAAAATATTATTGTTATTGAGGGTCAATTTATTTCTGTTTGGGAGTCTTACAGTGCCTGTTCTTTTAGCCATCTAAAGATTGTACCAGTATTAAGTGCAGGTTTTGCAGCCTTTAAGCTGCAAACAGCTGCACATGCCTTTCAAAACAGAACTCTACATGTTTATGAATCTGATCTACTTTTTTAAGATTCAAGTACAGCACCCAGCTGCTAAGTCAATGATTGAGATAAGCAGAACCCAAGATGAAGAAGTTGGTGATGGTACCACCTCTGTCATTATTTTGGGTATGCTGCTTTGCTTTTTTTCTGCAACTTCTGTTGTTTTTCCAGTGGTGTAAGTGGTGCTTTTGTAGTGAATAATTATTAGTGTGGGGTAGAAATTCACTTGTTTGATCCTTTGATAAGTTTGGTCCTTTGAGCTTGGCATGACACGGTGTTAACTTCTTTGAAATGCTATGTTTTTGTGACACATGTAATTGAACCCATCAATTTTATTGTTTCAAGTGTTTGTTTCAAGTGTATCCTGAGAAATTTCTTTAGATAGAAATACAGTGTAGGTAAACCCATTTTAAAAAGAGGAAAGAAAGACATAAAGAAAAGAACATTAAAGTGCCCAGGAAAATTCTTGAAGTCAGGTGTGACCTCTGTTATCCTGGATAGTGAACAACTATTTGTGAAAGTAGTGGTGGGTAGTGTATTAATCTTCCAAATAAAAAATTTTTACACTTTTTCTAACCTTGCATGCATAAGTTTTGAACTGTAACAAGATTTTAGAGGTTTTTCTTCTTGTGGTTTGACTAATGGACCCCAAAGGATGTAGAATCCAATTTTTGAAAAATGTTGTATTTATATATTTTTTTCCTTTTTCTCTTTTCCTTTTTTGGGCATTTCATTTCCATACATATTTCTTTTCTTCTGGCCTATGCCATTACTGCCATGACCCTTAAATGACATAGTTAATCTAAAGAATCTGGCTAGTACATGTAGCACTGTGTAAATGGTGTTGTGGCTGTGACATTTCAGCTGGTGAAATGATGTCAGTCGCCCAGCAGTTTCTTGAGGATCAGATGCATCCCACAGTTATTATTGGAGCTTACAGGCAAGCCATGGATGACATGCTTGAGATTTTGAAAGATCAAATCAGCATTCCAGTTGATATTGAAAATAGAGAGGAAATGTTGAAAATTGTGAGAAGCTCTGTGGGAACAAAATTTGTCCACCACTGGTTAGTTTCTATTTTGTAACTTAAGAGGCTGTCCACGTAAGAACCCACCACTCAAATTGTGGCCGATCATAGAATTCCGTCAAATTTTTACTGTGAGATATTTGATCTATCAGGGCGTAAAATTAACTTTTTTTCCGGTAGCCACTTGGCTCCTAAATATTTTAAAGTGGCAGCCAATTCCAAAAAGTTGGTGGCCATTATGACAAACGCACACAAAAAAAATTTTTACCCTGTCACTGTACTAGATAGATTATCATATCAGTGATACAGTCATACAAACATCAAAAATGAGCCCGCGAAATTTGCACGAGCTACAAAGAGGACACTAGAAGGGATCATATACAACGTTATAGGTTACCTAAATCTAATATGGCATCTAGTGACAATAGATTTACGTTCGACATCATGGATGTGCTACGTTTTGGAAACGAGCTTAACGAAGAACTTTGCTGCAGATTTATCTTTACAAATATTCAACAGTCACTAGATCTCTAGCTAAGGTGTGGTTAGAAATTCTAGTCGCCAATTTGGCAACTAATTTTCAGGATTTGGTCGCCAAAGTGAAAAATTTAGTCGCATTGGCGCCTGTATTAGGCGCAATTTTACGCCCTGTCTATTCTGTCTACACAAATTGTATTTATTTGGTTGGTAAAGCTGTTTTCTCAAATTTTTTTGCGACAAGATGTGAGGACGGTCAAAAACAAGGAAAATAGTTTATTTCAGAGTCAATTTTCAGCGTTTCGCTGAAATCGGACATGTGGTATCATTTTACATCTCATCTCTTGATTAATAGCAAAATATATAAATCCTGACCAAACAATTAAGAATTACGCTATTTTGAAAATACCACACAAACAGCACTTTCCAAAATTGAGCGAGTGTGTTGTTGTTACAAGAAGTTTTTCTCAAAAGTATAACAGGATCTGGAGTCCTAATCACTATCTGTGTTTAGTGTTATGGCTGGTGTACCGAAAACAGCAAAAACATTTTTGGCAACTAGTCTTTTCGAGCTACAGGAGCTTGCTAAACTTTACTAATTTTCAACAGTCATAGTGCATGACTTACCGGTAGTTTATGCTTATTTGTGTTACTCCATTTCTTGCTCAAAATCAATATTTGTGGCAGTGCTAATTTTCAAAACTAGCACGGTTGTTTTGTTAAGGTGAGGATGTCCATAAATTCATCCAAACTTGACCCAAATCTTGCAGTTATGAAGGTACAAATGAACACCTGTGTGACATGTTGACAAAATACCATTAAGTTAGTCTTGATTTACTGTCTTATGCTGTAAAAAACTAAAGTAGACTTAGAAACGCTTATTCCAAATATGTCATTTTGAAGAGAACTTCATGTTTTACCATAGCTTGAGAACATCTCCCCGAGAATGGGTTGATTCAGTCATGTGTCACGGTCTTTAGTTTGAAAATGTCACAGATTCATATTTAAATACATCGCACAGAAATGGTTTGTGTCAAGAGTGATACTTCTCCTGTTTTTAGTGTAATTTATAGCAGCATTTACCTCATTATGAACTAAAAAGTCATTTTTTGAAGACATAATTATGACAATGTCAATTTCAGGCAGCAAGCATGTTCAGTGCCTATATTTTTACATGATACCGTAAAATAGTAAAAAATAGAGTAAAAAAGGTAAAATACAAAATCAGTGGCCACTAGAAGATTCATGAATTAAGTTTTCTCTTTTAGTTTTGATAATCACCACCAGTGATTCACCATCTATTTGTCTCTTTAAATTTAAATGGCCTTTTCTTATTTGGTTATAATGGATTATATGTAAACGAATTTGGAGAGATTTATTTACATAGCATGACTCGTGTAGGATTTCAAAATATTAATTGATGAGTCGGCGGAAGAATTTACAGCTGCACTTCTATGTTTTTGCCATTTTCCTCTTATTTCTATAGTTTCTTTGTTTTATCAACTAGTCTCGCTATTACCAGAAAAGTAAAGCTCTCTTCCTCGATATGTTCTGAAAAAAGTACTTGGAACCTGTTGTGCACCAAACCAGTCCTTACCAAAACAGGTCAAATCATGTTCTACGTTTTTTCAGTATTAAAAAGTTTAGACCTTTTCCTATCAGTTTAAGTCACATCCCTCTAAGATTGTGGAAAGTTTTAGTTAACAGATCTTTTTTCCTATCTCGGCAACCATACGGAATCTCAAAAACTTAAAGCATCTCCTTAAGCATGACTACGCTGAAAGTTTTAAGTTTCTTTTTATCACATGAGCAGTCACACAAGCAGTATGAGTGAAAGCAAATAGGCTGCTTTAGACCAAGCTGGCCTGCAACATTTTCCAACATTTCACATCTTTCTTGCTCCTCTTCCTCTGCATAAACTTCCTCCACCTCAATTTCTCAGCTTCCCTGTCTTCTTGTTGTGGCTGCCAATCTCAAGAAAAACCCCTGCACT